TAGTAGAGACAGGATTTCACATGTTGGCCAGGCTGTTCTCGAACTGCTGGCCTCAAATGATCTGCCCCCCTCAGCCTCCCAAAGTGCTGGGATTACAGGTGTGAGCCACTGTGCCTGGCCCACAAAGTTCTTTTACTCTGTAATAACCTAGTTATGTCTTTCTTCTTCAGGGTGGACCCTGAGTCCTAAAACCTGGAATCTGACCAAAAAACTCTGAATATTTTTTGTCTCTATATTCAGATTTTCCAAATTTCATATTCCAAGTAAATAACTGAAAAGTGACTACCTCTGTTAGTAGCTGCTGTTCCTGGGATGCTCACCGAGTGCTTGGCATGGTGCCAACTGTTAGCCTCATGACCTCATTTGATCCTCCCGATGTCCCTGTGAAATAGTTAGTATTATTATCTCTATTTTATAGTTAAGGAAACGGAGGTTTAGACCCAAGGTGTGAGTTGCCCAATGTTACACAGCCGGCAGAGGTGTAATTTGAGTCCAAGTCTAGAAATTAACTAGCACTCCACTTGCCAAGCCACTGGCCTCTTAACGGGTTGGCAGATTTATTCCTGTGCATGCTTCAGTGGTGACAATGACCCAGCAGTCTGGGTGGCTGGAGAGGAAAAAGTAGGGCTGCTTTGCTGCCAGTTGGGAGATCAAAACAGAGAGGACCTGTCTGCCTGAGGGGATCTGATGAACTCTGAGTCCTCCTAGGGCCTGGCTACAATGAGGTGACTTGGAAAGGCCAGAAAAATGTAGACTCTGGCTAGGGGCAGATCTGGACCCCAGCACGCTGTGGGGATGTAAGCCACTGCTTGGCCAGTCTTCCTTCTGGAAAGAAACAGGCGACTGCTACTGCCTCTCTATGCTACCTGGGTGACCTCCAAACACCAGTAATGAATGAGATCATCAGAACTGAGCAGCTTAGGAAATGCCTTTGGTGCCTTGTGGCTTCAGATATCCAAGGTCCAAATTATAACTTGCATCTGCCCAGTGATTTGCATTTCAATGTTTATACTACAATGATCTCATTGAATCCTTTGTGCGTCCTGGTGGGCTGTGATGATCATGACCATTTGCTAGAACGCAAGAGGCGAGATGAACTACCCAAGGTCATGCAGAGCCAAGACTCGAACCCAGGCCCAACTGACTCCAAATCCCATTTACTTGCACTAGATCAGTGATTTTTAAACATCATTTCATGGAACCCCAGGGTGACTGGGGCAGGCCAGAACAAGGGTCTCAGGAGAGGAAAGAGGCAGAGGAGGCTCTGTCTTCTCTCCACTTCACTGTGGACTGATCTGATATCAGATTTCTGTGTAAAGTTTATTAGAAGATTTGTGTTGCTAACAAAATTGTTTTCAGAACTGCCCCAAATGATTCCTTCTTTTCTGGGAATTGAGTTCGAGTTTTCTTTTCCTAGGGCCCCCATTTCTTTTTTTGGGCAAGAAGAGGCCTGCTGTCTGTTGGAGGATGTATTCAACTACAGGACGGTAGCACAGGGGAATACAAAAGGTACTGGACAAAGAGGCAGAGGACCTGGGTTCTACTTCTAGCTTTGGTGTGACCCAGTAAAGTTATTTACCTCCATCTCCCCCTGTGTAAAAATGAGGGAGTTGGCCTAGATAATTACTAAAAATCCAGTTCAGAGCATATAAACCATAGATAGTGAGATCTTAGGGGTACAACATCTACAACTGAATGAAAATGTAATGTTTTTTGGTACGTGAATTTTTATGGAAAGAGAGTCTACTGCCTTCATCAAAGTCTTAAGGCGGTTTGTGATACGGAATCTCTGGCTTCTTCTTCTTCTTTTTTTTTTTTTTGAGTCTTGCTCTTGTCACCCAGGCTAGAGTGCAATGGCACGATTTTGGCTCACTACAACCTCCACCTCCTGGGTTCAAGTGACTCTCCTACCTCAGCCTCCCAAGTAGCTGGGATTACAGGTGCCCGCCACCATGCCCAGCTAATTTTTGTATTTTTAGTAGAGATGAGGTTCACCATGTTGGCCAGGCTGGTCTCAAACTCCTGACCTCAGGGGATCCACCCGCCTCAGCTTCTCAAAGTGCTGGGATTACAGGCGTGAGCCACTGCACCTGGCTGATTTTTTTTTTTTTTCTTTTTTGATGGAACTGCTGGACAATCTTGTTTCTCCTTTTGTGGGTATCAAATCATAAGAATGTTGTGAGGAAGGCATTTCAGGAAGGGAAACTAGGGCAATATGCAAAGATAAGCCGAGCTAAAGGATGGAAACTACAGGGAAGAGTAAGAGACTGTGAGTAACCCAACAATCTCGTTTGTGCCCCTGGATCCAGCAATGCCTGACACCCCTACACTTTTCAACCACATCAATCACTGGTTCTCTCTCCTTTAAGTATTTTCTCTGTCAATCACCTATATAATGAATGATCGATGTACTAATACTATGGAAGAGGCCCTTGCCATTTGTAAAATCATGAAGCTCAACTTAGAAAAGCTAAGCAGAAAGGGAAAAAGGGATGGAATGGGGGAAGAGAGTTCCTTCTATGCTTTTCTGAATGTTTGAAGAAAAATGTTTGATATTTTGTTCACTGTCCTTCATTCTCTTTTCAAACTGGGAGCTTTCAGAGGCAGCAAAGATCTTAGGATCAACCCCACCATTACACAGATGGGGAACCGAAATCCAGAGAGGGGATGTAACTCTCTCCTTTTCATACAATAAATCAGTAGTAGGAGTGAGACTAGAACTCAAGTTATGAGCTCCAAAGAATGCTGCACCTTTCTGTGTGACCTTCCTCAGTGCTTTTTTTCCAGGCAGGGTCACAAGTTAGCAGAGTGTGGGAGGGTTCTTGTGCCCCTGTGTGTTGCTCGGTGGCAAGGATCCACACCTTATCCAGAAACATCTACTGTTTGGATGTCTTTTCAAGTTCTGTGGGCATAGGCAAACAATCAGTGGAGTGTTGGCCCCGGGAGGGAAGGGAACTGGCCCCGGGAGGGAAGGGAACCAGCTCCTCTCTGATGAACCCCAGCCTGGGGTCATCCCCTCTCAGGAAACAGGCCCATTTAGGGGATTGACCAGGGAACCCCACCTGGGATTGGGGTTCTAGGGATCAGGACCAAGCTCGACATTGCTCAGTGTTGGTCACAGCAGGAAGGAGCCGCAGGAGGATTCACATGCACCTAAGGGTCAAAAGTAGGTAAGTAGGATTTATTAGGCAAGTCCAGGGGGTAACGTTCAGCCACAGGGCCAGATTGGTGCAGTCCCGGAGGTCAGTAACCGCAAAGGCATAAATGGGACTTAGGAGAGCCTGCGCTAATTGTCCTCAGGACATGGTGAGAGCAGCTCTTCTGGGGTGGGGGCTGGAGGGCAGGGAAAAGGAAAGCGAAGAAGGAGCCTAAGGCCCAGGACTGGGTCAAATCCGAAGCGGAAGCAAGAGGAAACGCAAGGCTCTGCCTGCCGCTCGTCCACAAACCACGCAAAGCCGCACAGGAGAAATGACCTTTAATGTCCGACTTTGTTTCCAACCCCACCAAAGTGCCATCCTTCAGTGAAGTACAAGTAGGGGCTTGAGAGGTACGAAGTCACGACACACAGAACGCCCCCGGCTGCCTCCTGGGCGCACGCTCGCTCCGCCCCCGCAGGGCGGCCCCACGCGCACACACATGCGGAACACACGCACACCGCACAGACACACGCACGTGCACCCACGGTTAAATACAAGTAGAGAGGGACTCGTTTATATATACACAGAGGGAGAGAGAGAGGTAAATCCCGGCGGCGTCGGGTCCCCCAGGCTCTCAGCATGCTCGGCCCGGCTCTCTGCGTGGTACCTGGCACCCATGCCCCTGCCAGAAAAGCAGCTGCCCCTCTCCCCGGCCCTCCCCCCGGTTTCCCTTGGGGCGCGCGTCTACCCGGCGCGGACGCTCCCCTCCCCCCTCCGCCCGCCCTCCCCTCCCCCCCCACGATGATTTCCTCCCCAGGGAAAGGAAGCTGCGCACCGGGACCCTAAAACTGCCCGGGCGCCAGGGGCATGTTGCTTTTGAAGCCCGGCTGCCCGTTGGCCACGTCGGCCGCGGGCTCGCAGCCCCCGTTGCTGGCGCCGCCGTCGGTCCCGGGGCTCTCGGGCTCCGCCAGGAGCTTGAAGGTGAAGAGCGGGCCCGAGTCGTGGCGGCCGCGGCGACCGGGGGGCTCGGGCGCGGGCAGGCTCAGGAGGGCGCCGGGCGCCTTCCACTCCGGGAAGGCGTACAGCTCGACCGGCGGCGGCGCGCCGCGGCCCAGGTAGCCCGGGCTCGGCGAGGCCGAGGGCAGGGTCCGCTGGCTGCCGCTCAGGCAGCTGCCGCTGTCGTCCAGCGAGTCCTTGCGCGACTGCGAGCGCTCCAGCGAGCCGCCGCGCGTCCACGGCCGGTAGGTGTAGGCGCAGCCGCCCAGGCGACGGCGGCGGCGGCGGCGGCGGCGGCCGCGGCACTGGCACCCGAGGATGCGCACGAAGGCGCGCTTGAACTCCTTGCTGGAGCATGGGTAGATGATGGGGTTGAGGCAGCTGTTGAAGTAGCCCAGCCAGAACACCACCTTGAACACGGCGTCGGGGGGCTTCAGGGTGGAGAACAGGGAGCCTGCAGTGGGGAGGGGGGTGGGCACGGGCAGAAAGACAGCAATTTGTGAGTAGTCAGGCTCTCACCCCAATATGCTCCTCCTCAACCTTGTCAGCCTGCAGCGTTTCTGCCGTCAGGCCTTTCCCAGAGCCAGTTCCTCTGCCCGGAATACTTCCCTTTCCATTTCAGAATGAATGAATCCTACATTCATTTTTAGGGCCGGCCTCGAAAACTTCGCCTTTGTCCATGAAACCTTTCTTGATCTAGTTAAACAGCAGCTAAGCTCCTATGATTTCCTTCGGTAGCACTTGCCACCTTCAATCTAAGGGCTAACAATCATCGCCCACAATTGCACATCTCTTTTGGGTCAGTCACCGTGATGGGTGCTTTCCCTATGTTAGTTTATCCTGCATAAAACTCAAGGAAGTAGATGCTGAATTATTTCCGCGAAAAGTAGAAGGTGTATTAAAGACCTAAATGCGAAACGTAAAGTTTTAAAGGTAAAAGAGGACAACATAAAGGACTATCTTTTTGATCTAGGGGTGAGGAAAAACAATACTTCAAAAGGACGAATCATGAGGCAAGAATCTGAGAAGATATTTACAATGTCCAAAACAGTCAAGGGATTGATATTTAGAATATGCAAGGAACTCTTAAAATCAGCAAGAAAAAGTGTTCCCAGTAGAAACGTGGGCAATGGAAATGCGCAGGGAATTTACAAAATAGGAAACTCGAAGGCTAATGAACATATCAAAAATAATCAAAATAGGCAGTCAAATAAAAACGGCAAAGAGGCTGAGTGCAGTAGCTCATGCCTGTAATCCAAGGCAGTTGGATCACTTGAGCCCAAGGGCTTGAGACCAGCCTGGGCGGCATAGGGGGACCTTGTCTCTACAAAAGAAATAAAGAATTAACCAGGCGTGTTGGTGAATGCCTGTAGTCCTAGCTACTTGGGAATCTAAGGCAGGAGGATCCCTTGAGCCCAAGAGTTCAAGGTTGCAGTGAGCTATGATCATGCCACTGCACTCCAACCTGGGTGTCAGAGCAAGACCCTGTCTCAAAACAACAACGACAATGAAAACCACAAAGGGACATATGTGATAGGTTGGCAAAAATTAGGAAGCTGGATAGTTCCAAGTGCACACAGGCATGTGGGGACATGAGGAGCCTTGTGGGGACATGAGGAGCCTTGTGCATGGCTGGTGGGGGCACAGGCTGTATACACATACTGGAGAAGACTCTGGTAGCACTTGGTCTAATTAAGTATACACACACCTTGTGACCCAGCCATTCCGCTCCAGGTCACCGATCTCAATGAATTTTCACACAGGTCCATAAGAATTCATATATGAAGGGGGCTCATGGCAATATTGTTTGTAGTGACAGGAATTTGGAGACAAATTCCTCCCTGGGAATGTCCCTCCCTGGGAAAAGTAGAATGGGGTAGATGCATTCTCGGATATTATGCAGCACTTAGAGGCCTGGGGTGACGTGTCCACATGGTCACATGGAAAGATCTGAAATACATGGTTCTTTGTGAAAAAAGTAGGAAACAGAATGAGATTTATGACACAATACCGTTTAAGTAGCTCACCAAACAACCAGATGCATTTTGCAAAAACACTTTCAAATTAACAGAAACATACTAAAGACAGAATGCCTAGTGGTGGAGGCAGAGGGAAATGGGAATGGGAATAAAAGGAAATAAATCCATATAATAAGAGAGAGGCCTGGCATAGACTCATGATGATGAGACATTATGAATAAAAAACATGATTAACTCACCCCTCTGAATTGGAGATCCCAAAACATTTTATGGCAATATTAAATTAAAAACAATTTCCATTTTAAATGTAAGTCAGGAGAGGTTAAATGATTTGCCCCAGGTCACACAGCATGCTTGTAATATATCTGGGATTTAAATTCTATTTGAATAAAAATGTTTTTTTTTTTTAAAGATGCAATTAATAATACTCCGTATAAAGATGAGAAAATGTAAAAATGCAAAAATAAAAACTATTTTAAAAGCACATATAACTCCACAGTGCCAAAATACCACATTTTGGTGTATACACTGTCAGATTTTTCCTCTTGTATATACAAATTAAAAATTTTTTTTTTTTTTTTTTAAGACAGAGTTTCGCTTTTGTTACCCAGGCTGGAGTGCAATGGCATGATCTCGGCTCACCGCAACCTCCGCCTCCTGGGTTCAAGCAAATCTCCTGCCTCAGCTTCCTGAGTAGCTGGGACTACAGGCACGCACCACCATACCCAGCTAATTTTTGTATTTTTAGTAGAAACGGGGTTTCACCATGTTGACCAGAATGGTCTCGATCTCTTGACCTCGTGATCCACCCGCCTTGGACTCCCAAAGTGCTGGGATTATAGGTGTGAGCCACTGAGCCTGGCCTTAAATATTTTTAAAAATGGAATACTTTCTAGAACATTGTGTATCTTCTAATCATATCTCTGTCCCTACCACCTGGCTTGTGGCATATTAACTTTTGTATTCCTGTCTTCTCAGACTGAGCTTCCCAAGGGCCTGTTGTATGGGGTCTTCATTGAATCTATTTGTTAAATAAAGAGTCCAACCTGCAAAGTCCAACCATTTTGCAGGTGGAGACACCAAGACCCAGAGAGTAGCTGAAAGTCCCTGAGGTGGTTGGTACAGATGCCACAAGGATTCCTATCTGTGATTTTGGATTGTTCTTGCATCTCTTCTCTGTAGCATTTCACCTTCTTGATTATTTGAGATTTGGCCTGTTCCAAATCTCAAATAATCAAGAAGGTGAAATGCTACAGAGAAGAAATACAGGAGCCTGACTCCTAATTCTCTGCTCAGTAACTCAGTGGTGGCTGCTGGAGGGCAATGTCTGGGTTCCTGGTGCAGGACTAAGTCAGCCAGGAGTTCACCTTAGAAAGGTTATCCATACCTGGAGATAAGTGCTAAGTATAAATACTGACTTCTTCAGGTAGGGGGAAATGTGGCAGTGGGCTGCTTTCTAGGTTTGGTCTAGGTGAGACAAGGGAGGGCACCATCTTTTTTTTTTTTTTTTTTTTTTTTTTTGAGAGATTCTCACTCTGTCACCTAGACTGGAGTGCAATGGTGCGATCTCACCTCACTGCAACCTCCACCTCCTGGGTTCAGGTGATTCTCCTGCCTCAGCCTCCCGAGTAACTGGGGCTACAGGTGCCAATCACCACACCCAGCTAATTTTTTCATATTTTTAGTAGAGATGGGGTTTCATCATGTTGGCCAGGCTGGTCTCGAACTCCTGAGCTCAGGTGATCCACCCACCTCGACCTCCCAAAGTGCTGAGATTACAGGAGTGAGTCACTGCACCCAGTCGGAGGTCACCATCTTGTGGTCTGATTTGTGACAAGACTCATACCATTAGGTTTTGGTCTCACTATTGGAGCTACTCTTTTGGATTAAGACAGTGTACAGGGGCCCCAGCTGAAATGCAACTATGGTATATGAACATCAAGTATTCCCTGATGGGGGAAGTTGTCCCTGTCCACAGGGATGGGCTTATTTCCATCACTGAGTCTGAAGAACATAGGAAACCGACCTTGACAAAATCGGAAACTGGAGAATAAATTTTGGGGAGGGCTAGACACAGAGGTTCACATCTGTAATCCCAGCACTTTGGGAGGCCAAGGCAGGAGGATAGCTTGAGTCCAGGAGTTCAAGACCAGCCGGGGCAACATATTGAGACTCCCATTTCTACAAAAAAGAAAATTTGGGGGAGAAGTAGAGTGAGCGAAGCAAAGTCTGGAAGCCTTGTGCATTACCCAGGGATGAGTGCGTATGAAGGCAGCACATTACTTTGCATGGGGACTTATAGGGCCTAGGATGGAGGCTGGAGCGGTGGCCACAGGTGGGCAGGATCCAGAGCAGGAAAGCATGATTGTTGCAGACAAGTTTGTGACTTCGTTTGGTGCCAGCGTGAAGGTGGTTGTGAAATAGGCAATAAATGGATAAATGGGGATGCAGCCTGAGAAACTGGCTCTTTTAAAGTATAAACAAATATAAAAAAATGCTAATAGCTAACATCTATCATAGCCACCATTTATACTGTGTGTTAAATGCAAGTCCTGAGCTAGCTCTTCACACTACCAGTTATTGAATAATTACAATTGGAAGGTACCACTGAGTAAGGTACTATTGTTGGTCTCATTTTCTTTTGGATCAGAACACCAGTGTAGGAAGTCATAGTTATTTAAATTTTTATACATTCATTCATTTCTTTCATTCATTCATCTGTTCCACAAACACTGAGCTCCTGCTAAGTGCTAGGCATGAGGACAAGCCGTGGGAATACAGAGATGAGTTTGGGGCGTGGTGTTGCACCATGGCAGCTAAGAGGCCATTCAACAGAACAAATGTAGCATTGCGGAGGGGGTGTAAGTTTCACTCTTCCCCTGTGTACAAGTGGCGTATCTTTTTTGATTGTTCTTCACGTTCATCACACTGGAAGCGCCTTGTCAAGGGCAAAGATGGGCTAGATTTTTGCCTTTGTTTTCTTACAAAGCACCCTCCAAGAACCATGGCCCTGAGAAGTGTCCAGCCAAAGGTGAGGAGGTGATGCCAACTTTTCTCATGGGCATTTGCTGCCACATTTTGGGTTTGGGCTCGTTACACTGTTTACTCCTCTGAGAAGAAGGCCATTCTTTGCCCTTGGCTGATTAGGCAGTGTGGTCAAGTGGCTGGAACTCGGAACTTAGGATGACACAAACCCGTATTGAAGCTCCTCTTGATGTATTGGCTGTTCTATCTTAGAAGAGTTAATTAGCCATCTCAGCATCAATTTTCCCATCCATAAAATGGGGACAATATCTGTGTCATAGAGTTACTGTGAATACATGAAAATATCCAAGTAAAATACTTGACACAGGGTCTGGCATCTTGAAAATAATAAATAGTGATCATTTTCTAAATATACTTTATATCCTGGTCCATTCTCCTCCAGGAACTCAGCTCTGATTAGCCCCACCCAACTCAGATGGACTTCTTTATT